TTGAGGCAGGAGAATTGCCTGAACCCAGGAGGCGGAGGTTGTGGTGAGCCGAGATCACGCCATTGCACTCCAGCCTGGGTAACAAGAGTGAAACTCCGTCTCAAAAAAAAGAAAAAAAAAAAAGAGAGAAAGACCAGCTGGGTGCAGTGGCTCATGCCTATAATCCTAGCACTTTGGGAAGCCAAGGCAGGTGGATCACCTGAGGTCAGGACTTCAGACCAGCCTGGCCAACATGGTGAAACCCCATCTCTACTAAAAATACAAAATTAGCTGGGTGTGGTGGCACATGCCTGTAATCTCAGCTACTCAGGAGGCTGAGGCAGGAGAATCATTTGAACCAGGGAGGCAGAGGTTGCAGTGAACCAAGATTGCACCACTGCATTCCAGCCTGGACAACAGAGTGACACTCAAAAACCAAAGAAAACACCCATATGAAGCTCACGCTCAGGCACACACATGCTCACTCTCTCACTCCGCTTTCTCCTTGGTCCAGCCTGGAAACACAGGATCTGGCCGAGGTATCCTAAGCCAGATCCTTAGGTCCTACTCAAACTAAACACCAGTGAGACAGAGAGGCTCCTCTTTCCGTTACTTATCAGCAGGTCATTGTGGCCCATCCCTTCTCCTGGCCTGGACACACTCCCCATCCTCTTCCGGCATGGTCCTTGGAGGGTTCTAGAGTCTTCCCGGACCACCTCACATTGATATCCATCAGCTCAGCTAACCTGATCACAGTGGCCTTTTCCAACTGTGAAATCCATAATTTTTACAACTCTAATTTTTTTTTAAAGTTGCAGGATCTTTAAATGAAGTCTTCAGAGAACTTCAATATGTACATAATACAGAAAGTAGAGACATTCTGGTGGAAGCGTCACAGGTTTCTGTGAAATCTGCCCAAGCTTTTGGTTCGTGAGACCATCTGAAACCACAGGTCCAGAGCCTCTGCTCTGCAAAGAACTGCCATGAGGGCCCCCTGGTTTTTAAAGATTTACTGCCTTCCGCCTACAAACTGGAGCCTATAAACTCAGTGGACACACTGAGCTTTGGGGGACAAAGGCTGTCTCACTCATGCCATCTCCCAGGGTGCTTCCCCCGGGCACAGGCTCCAGGAACACTTGTGCACCACTCAGGTCTTCTGCGGTTTCTCAGGCCTCTCCAACCTCCACAAATGCTGCCACCGCTTGACAACACCCTACAATCGACTCCGTCTCTCTCAGATCACTCAAGCAGCCGGCTGAAGCCCCCTTCCACTCAGACTTTGCCCATTCACCCCAAAGAAATCTAAAAGCTCAGGGATTCTCTTCTCATCTACTCACCACTCCAGATAGGTGGAGTCTGCACACAGGGTACACCAGGATTCTAAATGAAGGCTCCCGTTTGAGAATGAAACCAGAAGACCCATTAGACAGTGGAAGAGGTCAGCCATTTAGAGCAGGGATCCACCGGAGAGAACCAGGAGCCTCGGGACACGCTCAAGTTCAAGTGGAACACATGGTCTCAGGGAGCCAGGACTGGAATGTGACTCAAGCTGAAACTTGAGACAGTTAAAACTGTGATCTATATGAAGGGGTGAGGCCTGCCTTGAGATCAGAAAAAGGCGGACCCAAATAATAGATAAAAGCAACTACAGACAGACACGCACGACGGGTCTGAGGCCTGCCTTGAGATCAGAAAAAGGGGAACCCAAATAATAGATAAAAGCAACGACACACACACACACACACACACACACACACACACACACACACACACACACACAAAATGGTCTAGCTCTGTCAGGTCTGAGGCCTGCCTTGAGATCAGAAAAAGGGAGACCCAAATAACAGATAAAAGCAACTACAGATACACAGACACACACACACAGATAAAAGCAACTACAGACACACATACGCGCGAACGCAACTGTCTAGCTCTGTTGCCCAGGTTGGAGTACAGTGGTACAATCTGACTGGGGTACAATCAGAATTTACTTAAACTCCTGGGCTCAAGTGATCCTCTTGCCTTAGTCAGGACTTCTAAAACTTTCTATAGAGATGGAGTCTCCTTATGTTGCCCAGATTGGTCTGGAACTCCTAGCCCCCACCATGCGACCTAAAGTGCTGGGATAATAAGTGTGTGCTACTGTGCCTAGCCAAGGCTTTTTTCGTTATGCAAAAAAGCACACCTGTCATCCCAGAACTTTGGGAGGCCTACTTGAACCCAGGAGTTCAAGACCAGCTTGTGCAACATAGGGAAAACCTGTCTCTACAAAAAATTTGAAAATTAGCCTGGCATGGAGAGGCACGCCTGTGGTCCTAGCTACTCAGGAAGCTCTGGCAGGAGGATTGCTTGAGCCTGGGAATTTGAGGCTGCAGTGACCTATGATGGTACCACTGCACTCCAGCCTGGGCAGAGATCCTGTCTCAAAAAACGAAAAGAGCACACCTGCTTTTTGAGAGCCCTACTCTCAGGAGAACCTCCAGCCATCCTGTTGGCCATCATTCTATGGCTCTAATTCCAAACACACATTTCAGACAAGCTGGTACAACCGTGCACTCCTGACCCATTCACTTCTTCAAGAAGCATTTCCTGAGTGCCTGTAAACAATGCTTAGCATGGAGAGGTGACCAGAGGACCTAGGCTCGGTCTCTGCCTGCTGGACTACATTCCAGTCTCATCCTAATTCTGCTTGTTGGGTCACATGAGTGTGGTTGGCAGAAAGATGCCCCTCACCCCCCACCAGATGTTCATGTCCTAATCCCTGGAACCTGTGAGTTGAGTGTTTTGTTACATGGCAAAGGGCAATGAAGGCTACAGATGAAATTAAGGTTGCTCATCAGCAGGCTAAAAGAGAGATGATCCTGAACTGAGTGAGCCCAATATAATCATGAGGGTCTTTGAATGGGGAAGAGGCAGATGAGCCGGAACCAGGGCGGTATCTGAGAAAGACTGACTGGTCACTGCTGGCTTTCAAGATGCAAGGCCACAAGCCAAGACATGCAGGCAGCCTCTAGGAGATGGGCAAGGCAAGAAAGTAGATTTTCCCCTAGAGCTTCCAGGAAGAAACACAGCCCTGCCAACACCTTGATTTTAGCTCAGTGAGACCCATTTTGGACCTCTGACTTCCAGAACTGTAAAATAATGTGTGTTATGTTTTGTTTTTAGAGAGGGTCTCGCTCAGTCGTCCAGGCTGGAATGCAGTGGCGTGATTGTAGCTCACTGCAGCCTTGAACTCCTGGGTCAAACAATCCTCCTGTCTCAGCCTCCCAAGTGGCTGGGATTACAGGCGCAAGCCATGTGTGTTGTTTTAAGCCATTATGTTTGTGTGATTTGTTACAGCAGCAAACAGGAAACTGACATAAAGATCACGAAGAAGCAGAAACCATTTCTTTGAGAAATGGTTTTCCCATTTGGAAAAAGGAATGGACATCTGCCCTTCTATACAAGCTATTTTTGTAAGGACCAAATAAACTGTATACTGTAAACTTCTTTTGGAGACAGAGTCTTACTCTGTCACCCAGGCTGAAGTGCAGTGGTGTGGATCTTGGGTCACCGCAACCTCTACCTCCCAGGTTTAAGCAATTTTCCTGCCTCAGCCTCCTGAGTAGCTGGGATTACAGGTGCCTGCCACCGTGCCCGGCTAATTTTTATATTTTCAGTAGAGATGGGGTTCACCATGTTGGCTAGGCTGGTCTCAAACTCCTGACCTCAGGTGATCTGCCTCCCTTGTCCTCCCAAAGTGCTAGGATTACAGGTATGAGCAACACTGCCTGGCCTTGTATGTACGCTTCTTTTTTCTCTTTTTTTTGAGACGGAGTCTTGCTCTATTGCCCAGGCTGGAGTTGCAATCTCGGCTCACTGCAACCTCTGACTCCCAATGGCTTCAAGTGATTCTTCTGCCTCAACCTCCTGAGAGCTGGGACTACAGGTGCGTGCCGCCACACTGGACTATTTTTTTTTTTTTTGAGACGGAGTTTCGCTCTTGTTGCCCAGGCTGGAATGCAATGGTGTGATCTCGGCTCACCGCAACCTCCGCCTCCTAGGTTCAGGCAATTCTCCTGCCTCAGCCTCCTGAGTAGCTGGGATTACAGGCATGCGCCACCATGCCCAGCTGATTTTTTGTATTTTTAGTAGAGATGGGGTTTCACCATGTTGACCAGGATGGTCTCGATCTCTTGACCTCGTGATCCACCCGCCTCAGCCTTCCAAAGTGCTGGGATTACAGCCATGAACCACCCCACGCCCGGCCCGTATGTAAGCTTCTTAAACTTAGTAGGGCACTGAACACCACAAGCACTTACTGCTATTACCAGGCAATTTACTGAGCTGGTGTCCCCTGGAGGCATCTGTCCACTGTTCATCCCATCTGTTCTCTGGACATTTAAGTGAACTGCTAAGTAGCCCCATTTGGGCCTCTGCTCCACCAGGGCACCTCTCAGACTCTAGCTAGAACAATTCTATGTGTGGAAATCAGCTTCTGGGAAACACTGGCCTACCCTGACCCAATGACCAATTCCAGAAAACTCCTAAGGAACACTAAGAAAAGCTCAGCTGGCTGGGTGCAGTGGCTCACACCTGTAATCCTAGCACGTTAGGAGGCTGAATTGCCTGAGCTCAGGAATTGAAGACCAGCCTGGGCAACATGGCGAAGCTGTCTCTACTAAAAATACAAAAAATTACTCAGGCGTGGTGGCATGCACTAGTCCCAGCTACTGAGGAGGCCAAGGCAGGAGAACTGCTTGAACCTGGAATTGGAAGTTGCAGTGAAACCAGATCACAACACTGCATTCCAGCCTGCGCAACAGAGCAAGACTGCCTCAAAAAATAAAAAAAATAGGCCAGGCACAGTGGTTCACGCCTGTAATCCCAGCATTTTGGGAGGCCAAGGTGGGTGGATTTGGCCAACATGGCCAAACCCCATCTCTACTAAAAATATAAAAATTAGCCAGGCATGGTGGCACCTGCCTGTAATCCCAGCTACTCGGGAGGCTGAGGCAGGAGAATCGCTTCAACCCGGGAGGCAGAGGTTGCAGCGGGCTGAGATTGTGCCACTATACACCAGCCTGGGTGACAAAGCAAGACGCTATCTCAAAAAACAAACAAAAATAATTTTTTTTTTTTAAAAGAAAAACTCAACTCTCAAGTCAGCCTCCTTCATCATTCAGATCCCCCTGCCTCTGGCCCCGTGTCCCAGGAAACCTGAGCACCACCCACCCTATGCTGGGCTCTGCCACAGAGCAGCCCTGCCGAGGCCCAGCCCAGGGGCGCTGCCTGCAAAGTCCCCGCCGTGCCTCTCGCTGCAGAGGGCTTACCTGGAGAGAGGCTCTCTGCCCGGGGAAGGCCTCCCTCTGCCGCTTCCCCATCTTTGGGTGGGTCCTTGCTGTCTGGGCCCCTGAGCTGGGTGTGGGAGAAGAGCTGCAGGACAAAGCCAGCGGGGAAGCTGCCGTCAGTGAAGTGTCGGACCTCTGCTGGTGCCGCGAAAGTCTCCGTGGGCGAGTCTGGCGATGGAGGCTCTGGAAGGCAGGATGGGATGGAACTGTGAGTGAAGATGCTTTAGGGGAGCTGCAGGCGTCCAGTGCCCAGGCCCTGCTCCATCCTCACTGATGTGGATCTCTGCGGAGCTCTGCAATCAGAGCCCATACCTCCCCTGGGCCTCCCCTTCACCTGGGTCAGGGTCCAGGTTTTTGGTCATAGGTCTGCCTCTTTTCTTCCTGACTGGCTCTTCCCCTGGGGGCTCCTTCCATCTCTGACCACGTGGCTTCTTATTTCCTGGCTCTGTGGCAGGGACAGCTGCGAAAAGAAAAGACCTCATACCTTCTTTAAGAGGCCATCCCCCAACCCTGCCACCCCAGGGCTCCCAAAGATTCCTGCCCAGAACATAGGATCTGTGCTTCACCCTGTCCCCAAACCCCCACCTCTACTCCACTGGGGCTCACTGGCTTCCCCGTTAACTAACCAGGAAGCTCAAGGGGGCGAAGTCCCCTGGGACGGCTCCTTTTAGGGAGAGATGGGTTATCCTCAGAGTCGAGGAGCACGACGATTTCAGCTGGCACTCTGGCAGGGTCTGGGTTGGAGTCTGGGTCTGGATGGGCATCCTGGCCTGAGTCTGCAGGGGACAAGGGCACAGTGAGCTTCTAGTGTCCCAACAAGTCCAACTTCTCCCTTCACCCCAGGCCCAACTACCTGAGTGGGGTGGGGATGGCTGCTCAGCTCTGACGTCTTGCAGGAGGGCCACTCCTTCACTCCAGGCCTCCAGGATGTTGCTCTTCTCGGAAGGGCTCAGGTCCAGGGTGTGAGGATGCTGCTCCAAGATGTGCGAGCGCGCCGTGTCGGCCGAGGGTGCCCGGATCTCAGCTCCACACACCATGCACAGCGCCCGCCCGCTGCCTCCGGGGCTGCTGCCCACCAGGAATTCCTGCTCCCAAGACACCTGTTGCTTGGGCTCCTCACAGCTATCACTGCCTGCCTCCAGCGGGCTGGGTCTAGGTGGCGGGGTCTTCTCCTGTTGGGTCACTGCGAGGGGAGATGTGGACGGTATTATCACTAAAGGTGCCCGCCACTAACAATACTTAGCATGGCTCCAGACTCAGAGATTTGAGTGGGATGGGGGAGGAGGGCATTTCTGTCCAAACTGTTCTGCTTCCTTCCCCTGGAGTCCATGAGGCACACATCACACTAAACACAGCTGATGTGCCCAGGATCCCACTCCCCTCGCCTAGTCTTGGGCCTTAGGACTACACACACTATTCCAACAAGCACGTTCTTGCTGGTCTCCAGGATTTGCACATCTGTCCAGACCACCCTAACTGAGCTGGGCAACACCATCCCTGAGAAGCCTTCCAGGACCCCACTCCTAACAATAGATCTCATCCAAATCTGACTTCTACGCTTTGTGAGAAAAGTAAATTTTTTTAATTTAAAAATTTTATTTATTTATTTAGAGACAGAGTCCCACTTTGTCACCCAGGCTGGAGTACAATGGTGCAGTCTCAGCTCATTGCAGCCTTGACCTCCTGGGTTCAAACGATCCTCCTTCCTCAGCCCCCGCAAAGCAGCTGGAACTGTGGGTGAGCACCACCATGCCTAATAATTTTTTTTTGTTTGTGTTTTTAAGAAATGGTCTGGTCTCACTTTGTTGCCCAGGCTGGAGAACAGTGGTGCTATCACAGCTCACTGCTGCCTCTAACTCCTGGGCTGAAGGGACCCTCTGGCCTCAGCCACCTGAGTAGCTAGGACTACAGATGCACACTATCACGCCTATCTAATTAAAAAAAATTTTTTTTGGCTGGGCGCAGTGGCTAACACCTATAATCCCAGCACTTTGGGAGGCCGAGGAGGGTGGATCATGAGGTCAGGAGATCAAGACTAGCCTGGCTAACAAGGTGAAACCCCGTCTCTACTAAAAAAAATTAGTCAGGCATGGTGGCAAGTGCCTGTAGTCCCAGCTACTCTGGAAGCTGAGGCAGGAGAAGAGTTTGAACCTGGGAGGCGGAGGCTGCAGTGAGCCGAGATGGGATCTTGTTACGTTGCCCATAGCAACAGGCTGGTCTTGAAGTGGGCTCAAGCAATCCTCCTGCCTCAGCCTCCCAAGGTGGGGGGATAACAGGCACGAGCCACCATGCCCGGCCCAGAACAGTGTATTTTATCATCTTACTAAGGACCACCCCGTCCCCTCAGAACCCTCCCCTCTCAGTGCTCACACATTTACGGCTGCAGTCTCACTCCTGTTATCTGATACCTGCTCTTTGTGCAGACAGACCATAAGCTCTCACAGGGCATGAGCCCTTTCCACTTCAGCAAAGGTAGCCTTAGAACTGCATCAGCCTGGAGGCTCAGTGCTTTTACGAAGTGCCCATGATCCCTCACAGCTGCATCTCTCTCCTACCTTCCAGAGGGGATGGGACAAAATTAAAACACCTAGGGGCTGCATGGAAGAGGTGGCATTAGAAATGAATAGAAGCCTCAGCTTGCATGCATACAAGAGGTGGTGGCTGAAATAGAGACGAGATATGTTTTATACCCATCTCTCACGTGACCATGGGCAGAAAACCTGACCTGTCAGTTGCCATCAACTTTCTTCCCTACTAGTTCTCCCAAACAGCTCTCATCCAAGTCAGCAGTGCTAAACCCAGCGATCAGTTTTTCAGCTTCATCCTCTGCCAATCACTTCTTCCATCTTGATTTGCATCACTTGCATCCAGGGCATGACCTTTTGTTGGTTCTTCTTTTACTTCCCTGGCACTCCTTCTAAGTCACGTGTGCTGGTTCTTCCTCAGCTCTTCTCAATATTCCCTCCCTCCCTCCGGGTTGTTGCTGAAGAACTACCTCCCCATCTAGACCATCCCATTCCCCTTAAGCAGCGTTTCCAACCCAGCACACATCACCACCTGACACCTGTCTGGGGGATGTTCGCTGCCTGTCTCCTCACCACACCATAGAATCCAGGACCACACAGATTTCTGATGTTTTGCACCTGGATTTCCAGCACCAAGAACAGTACCTCGCAGGTAGTGGCATTTAGTAATGTGTGAGGACGGACTGACTTGGTCTCCAACCTGCCATCACTGGAGTTTCCCAGGACTCAGTCCTTGGACATTTTTTTTTTTTTTTTTTGAGATGGAATCTTGTCTCTGTCACCCAGGCTGGAGTGCAGTGGCTCAATCTTGGCTCACTGCAACCTCCACCTCCCAGGTTCAAGCGATTCTCCTGCCTCAGCCTCCTGAGTAGCTGGGATTACAGGCACACACCACCATGTCTGGCTAGGCTGGTCTCAAACTCCTGACCTCAGGTGATCCACTCACCTAGGCCTCCCAAAGTGCTGGGATTACAGGCGTAAGCCATTGCACCCGGCCTTCAGTCCTTGGACACTTGTGTCTACTTCCTTCTGATGCCACTGCCTGCCTGCTGGCAATTTCCATTGACACCACCACCAGCCAGATACTCCCAGGAAATCTGGGCTTCTGTATCTGACTGTTTAGTGACCCCTCCACTTGAATATGTCATAAATAGGCATCTCAAACTTAATCATATTCAAACGTTCACTTCCAATCTCCCATGAGTACTGCAACCTTCCCCATCTCAGAAAATAGGAAGGCTGTTTCTCCAGTTGCTCAGGCCAAAAACCTTGAATCCAATCTCTCTTCCTCTCTCCACTGAAATCTTTCCAGAAGCGTGTGCTGCCAGACCTTTGCACTTGCTACTTGGCCTGAAATGCTCCTCCTCCAGGTATCTGCAAAGTTGGCCATCCTCACTTCCTTCGGGTCTGTGCTCAAAATTCACCTTATTAGAGAAGCCTTTCTGAACCACTCGATATATCACATTAAATACCCATTGCCCCTTTTTCTCCTTGTCCTGCTGTAGTGATCTCTGAACCACTTACTGCCACCTAACATCCTATACGGGAACCTGTGTATCTGTCTTTAGCCATTGGCATATACATGTTCTTCAAGAACAAGGTTTCAGCTGCTCTGTTGACTGCCACTGCTGCTTCCCAGCCTAAAACAGCAGCCTGAGCAGCCTAAAGTAGACACCCAGTGAATACTGGTTGAATGAATTCACCTGTCTATTCCCACCCTAACAGTGGGCATAAGGCAATCTTTGCAGAGTAGAGAGGATTAACTGAGACAGCCTCTAACAATGCCCAGTGAACACTCAACAAATATTAGCAGAAGTAGGAAAATAACCTAACTAAATGCTCCGAGAAGGGAGGTGATCTTTATTTCCCTCATTAATTTTATAACCCTTCCAGTTCCAAAAAGGGTGAGAGGCAGTGCAGACAGGCAGCATTAGGTTGGGCTGAAATTTAAAGAATGGCGTTGGGGCTTTCAACCTCTTTTGGGTACTATCCCCACTAAGAAAAGTGGGACTGGAGAATAGAAAGATATTTGCATTTTCATGCATATTAAGTTTTTCCCACAAAGATGGCTCTTGGTTTTCTGACGGTCTGCAAGCTCCCGAGGACTAAAGAAATCGGTGAAGGGGGAGGGGACAGCGAACGTTCTCAGATTGTTCCTCCCATCCCCTCCCAAAGCGAATCTCACTCTGGCACTGCACTGCTTTCCCAAACGAGGTGTTGTATGCAGTCCCATGCAGCCCTTCTCTCCAGAACCTGACACCTGTGGCTTGTGCAAGTAGAAGGCCCGGGAATGGGATGAAGCGGGGTGCTGGGCAGGAAAGCGTCGTGCTTGGAGAGTCCTTAAATTCTACTGGAGGTCGGCAGCGGCGCGCGCCTCCAGCCTCGGGCCTAGAGGCCTCGCCGCCCCTCAGCCTAGAACACAGCCGGGCCGTGGTGCTGGCCTCCGCCTCCCGGGCGGTAAGACGGCGGCCACCCAGGGCCTCTGGGGATCCGGCCTCCGGTGCTGGGCCCGGGAGAGGGGGCGCTCGGGCACCGGAAGATCCGGAGCGTGCGGGGCGTGGATCGGTGTCTCCAGACCCTGGACGGGGGGAGGGGGAGGGGAGGGAGGGGGAATTCGAGGAGGCCTGAGCTTCCAAACCAAGGTGGGGGAGGTGCAAGAGCGCGCCCTGGACCCTCGACCGAGAGGGGAGGCTGCGCCTCAGGCTGGAGGGGGTGAGAAGGTGCCCGGGTCTCAGACCCCGACTGGGGAAGGCCGGCCCCGCACCGTGACGCGGAAGTGGGGTCCCCTCCATCCTCACCTCTGAGCATCGGCTCAGGCCGCGGAATTACGGCCACCACCATGGCCTCCTCCTCGTCCTCCCCTTCCTCACATTTGAGCGTCACCTCAAAGCAGTCGAGTGCGGCGCCCTCGGCCTTTACGGCCATGGTGCGGCCGTGGGCGAAAGCGGTGGCCGGAGGACTGGCGCGCAGGCTTCGGCGCGCAACCGGCGGCCGCCTCAAGCCTCCCGCCCGGAACAGCGTCTGGCCCGCCGCCCGCCCCGCGCAGCCCCCTCCCCGCCACTCGCCGGCCGGGCTTGCGACCGGCGCGTCCGGGCCTCCCCGAGACCTCGGCGCGTCGGGAGCCCGGGCGGGGAGGGCTCAATCCGGGGCCCCTGCCCCCTGCCGCTCCCTTTTATGGAGGCTCATTGTCAGCTCCCGCCCGGCCAGCCCGCCGCGGGCCCGCCCCCGGCCCCGCGCGGCCAATCGCGCGCGGCCCCGCCCCGGGCACGCGGCCCCGTTAGAATCTCTGGACCCGGGAGGCGGCGGGAAGGGCCGAGCGGACCCGGGGCCGCCCAGTGCGCGGAGTCTGAGGGGCGCCAAGATTCCCCCCGCGCGGGCGCCTGAGTCGGCCGGCCGAGCCCGGGAGTCTCTCTCCGTTGAGAAGCCGATTGGGCGTTTCTGCTGGCGTGCAGAGCGCTACCATGTGCCCCCGGCTTTTGAAGGCGCTTCGCTTTTGCCTTTCCGTGGACAAGCCGTTCTCCGCCAGCAGATGCCCCGCGCAGGAAGAGAGCGGGTGGGGGAGTGGAAAGGGCCTGGGCTTGGAAGCGTGGAGACCGAATTCCTTCTCAGTGCCAGCTCTGTGGCTGTGGGCACATTATCTGTTTTGTTAGACCAGCTCATCCTTTCTTTCAGAAACCATTTTGGACCCTCTGGGAAGGCAAAGAAGAGGAGCGGAGTGGACTGTGGGCGGATGCAGACCACCCTGGATGGGTATGAGTTCCATTTTTTAAACGTGAGTCCGGAGATTTTGTGACCCTCTCCAAGGACACACAGCAATCCCTTGAGAGCCCCAAGACCAGAGTTTAGTTGCTGTGAAATTGCTCAGTGATAAGCATACTCTGGGTGAGCTTTTACTTCTGTGACATAGAATGTGCATCTCCCTCTTCTATAGCAGCCCTCATGAGATTTCAGCTCAGAAAATGCAAAATGTCTGACACTGAAAATCCATCTTCAAATGTGGTTGTATCAGACCCGATGTAGTATTCAGAAACGTGTAGTAGGATGGGGGTGGGAGAAGAGGTGTGAACTAGGCTATATGGATTGCAGTGTGTATATACATACACATATATATGCATATATATACACATATATGTTCACATATATATTCATATATATATACGCACACATACATATATGTATGTGTGCGTATATATATATATATACGCACACACATATATGTATGTGTGCGTATATATATATATATACGCACACACATATATGTATGTGTGCGTATATATATATATATATACGCACACACATATATGTATGTGTGTGCGTATATATATATATATATATTTTTTTTTTTTTTGAGACAGAGCTTTGCTCTGTTGCCAGGCTGGAGTGCAGTGGCTCCATCTTGGCTCACTGCAACCTCTGCCTCCCAGGTTCAAGTGATACTCCTGCCTCAGCCTCCCGAATAGCTGGGACTACAGGTGCCCACCACCACACCCAGATAACTTTTGTATTTTTAGTAAAGATGGGGGTTTCACCATGTTAGGCAGGATGGTCTTGATCTCATGACCTCGTGATACACCCACCTTGGCCTCCCAAAGTGCTGGGATTACAAGCATGAGCCACCCTGCCGGGCCAGATTGCAGTATAATTTTAAGGGAATTATTTTGTTACATACAAGTGTATTTGATATTTTAAAGGTTTTACAAATAAAGGTATTACCAAACCTGTTTAACTATTTCTATTAGTCATTCTCTACCATTTGCCACAGATGCCTTCCTCGCCCCTCTGCTCTGCTCTGTATTGCAGGGGGCTGAATCTTGTACCAGCAGTTTCTCAGTCTCCCAGAGCATCTGGCTTCAGGCCTCGGTTTGGCCAATGAGAGGCAGTGGCAGGAGAGGAGAAGGCAGGAGGAAAGAAAAATCCAGGGTATTTCTTCTCTTTGTCTCTCTTGCTCAGGCTCAGGCACATCTCCAGCAGCAGAGGAGGCCTCTCTGTGGCTCCAGCTTATGGATTAGGGAGCTGTGATCCCAACATCTGTAGGGTGATCCATGCCCCTGGGCTCCATCTAGTCCAGCTCCTCTGTTTGGCCCTGCAGGTTAGGAGTGGTGGGCAGCTTCTTGCTTGTGCTAATCTCTGTACTGCCTCTTTCTGTCTCCTGCTGGGCTTCCCAGACCTCCCATTACCCCTGTTTGTTTGTTTGTTTGTTTGAATCTTGCTCTGTTGCCCAGGCTGGAGTGCAGTGGCATGATCTCAGCTCACTGCAACCTCCGCCTCCTGGTTCAAGTGGTTCTCCTGCCTAAGACTCCCGAGCAGCTGGGACTACAGGTGCGCACCATAACCACCCAGCTAATTTTTTATGTTTTTAGTAGAGACAGGTTTCACCATGTTGTCCACACTGGCCATTACCCCTGTTAACCGTGTCACCACAACCCTGCATTACATTCTCTCTGTTTTCAATACTTAAAGTGGTTCCCTCCTGGCAGGGCACAGTGGCTTATACCTATAATCCCAGCACTTTGGGAGACTGAGGCAGGTGAATCACTTGAGGTCAGGAGTTTGAGACCAGCCTGGCCAACAAGGCAAAACCCCATCTCTACTAAAAAACAAAACAAAAAATAACGGTGGCTCACGCCTGTAATCGCAGCACTTTGGGAGGCCAAGGCAGGTGAATCACCTTAGGTCGGGGGTTTGAGACCAGCCTGACCAACATGAAGAAACCCCGTCTCTACTAAAAATAAAAAATTAGCCGAGCTTGGTGGCATATGCCTGTAATCCCAGCTACTCAGGAGGCTGAGTCAGGAGGATTGCTTGATCCCAGGAGGCGCAGGTTGCAGTGAGCCGAAATCGTGCCACTGCAGTCCAACGTGAGAGCTAGACTCTGTCTCAAAAAAAAAAAAAAAAAAAGGTTCCTATTTTCCTGGTTGAACCTTGAGTGATACAGTATTGTACCACCCAATTAGTAGACATTTTTTCTTTTAAGTCATGTTATTCTCAGCTTATAGAGCAGGAAGTTGAAGCTTAAAGGGTTAGATTACTTGCCCAAGGTAATACAGCAAGAAT